GCCGAGGTCAATATAGTGAGGTCTTATTCAGCTAATCGTGGGACCAAACATTATAGAGTGACTCGAGAGAATACCTCTATTGGTGAAATTCCAGTGACATATGAAGAGCTACTCCCAGTCCTAGTTGAGAGGAATCTCGTGACTCCAGTTCAGTCTAAACCGAAGGAACCCTCATTTCTTAAGGGGCATGATGCTGATGCAGTATGTAGCTAACACATGGGAAGCTCAAGTCATACTACTAAGAATTGTGGAGAATTGAAGCGCAAGGTTCGGTATTTAATTGATTCATGGGCATGGACATTCAATGAATGATGGGGCATTCTGATGCAAACTGAGAAAAATCATTCCAACCACTAGAAAATTTTGATGCACTCGCATATTGCCTTGTTTGAACTTGTTTTCTTTTTTCCTACATTTAAATGTTTGTAAGTCACTTGGCGTTCGAACGTTTTAAATAAAATGCTTCCTTCTTAGGAAATGAACAATGAGCAAATTTTAATCTTGAAATTCCTTGAATATCATCTTAATTAATAGTTTTTTAATAATTGAGGTTGTAAATCTATGACAAATGACAAGATTGAACCCCAGTATAAGAAGGACCCCTTGATCCTACTCCAGAAATACACCACAATTCATACCCTTCTCTTGAAGGGAACAATCTAGTTTTCTCCTTGCATGCAGAGTCAATCAAGGGTTTGGCATTCAGGTATGTGTTAGGAACTAACAAAATGGGGCAACTTGCACATGAGATTGCTAAGCTAATTGGTTCCTACTTTTGTTAATGATGTTCAATGCTGATCATGATCTTCACAGATGGAATGGTCGAGTAGGTGAATCTAGTTTAGGTCAGTTGCTTTGGAATTGAACTCTAACGATGGGATTCTCTGACCTCCAAAAACACTGGGACTATAACAGGTTTTTCTTGAGAATCTTAAGAAATGGAATCTGTATACTTAGAATATATATATATAATAAAGTTGAGCTATTCCGCTAAAGCAATTGGTTATAGAGGAAAATCGAAAGCCCTGGCTTTATGAATAGATTACATTCAAACCATGACATTCATCGGGTACTTGGCAATTCAGTGTTTGCTCCACTGTGATTGTAGATAAAAGACTCTATGACACCATGAATCCATCAGCTAGCCAAACAAAGGAATTATAATATATAATATACAATAAAGTTGATTTCAGGTAGCTAAACAATGAAAAATTAAGTTGAATTTACTAAATAAGGAGTTTCGATAAATATGGACTAAGGGAGTTGAGAAACACCTGTTATAGTCGAACTCACACGAGCACTCAGAAATCTCATTTTTAGACCGATATTTCTACACTACCTTTGCTAGATGAGGCTACAAAGCTTGAACAAATGGAAGATTTCAGAGAACTGAAATAAAAGTGTTCTCAAAAGTCTAGCAATTGACTATGTTCGTTGCGACATTTTGTCCTCCTCTTATCAAACTGCCAAACTAAGAAACAGGGCCATGTCCTAATTTTCACGAGGATCGAGAAAAGGAAAAAGGATGAATCGAGGAAACAAACCTTAGAATTACAGCTATCAAAGATTAAAAGAGAAATTGATTCTTTTTATATCCAATGAACTCCTGTTTTATGATTTGTTTCAATTGTGAAACTTAAAATGATGCAATATTTTTCAAAATTCTTTTCCATATTTTTCAAAATTTTGAAAATAAAAAGAAGAAGAAAAACATTTCCAAACAAGATAATCTCTAGAAGCATATCTTGGAATTCAGCAAATATCCCTCTGAAGCTCAAGATTGAAGTTGAGGTAAGGGAAAGCCAAATTTTTGGGCCAAAATTTGATGGGGAAAGGGAAATAAGTTGTCTCGGATCGAGGTTTGTAAGAGTACACCCTAGTGAAAATGAAGACAAACTGGAATCAGGGATAGACTGAATACTGCTCTCGCAACCATTCCCCTCACAGATCAACATATACATGTATCAACACATACATACATGAGACGCAAAATTTGCATCTTTGCATTCATCATCATGTATAATAAAGACTTTGATTTTCCCTCTCTTGAGGACAAATTCACTAATTCATCAAATAAAATACAAACTTCATCATGACACCCATAAGCATCCTAGATAGGCAGTAATAAATACATCATTTCGATCTTTCAGGAAATAAAAGCTTGAAAATGACCAGATGTCTTCAACCTGAAAGACCAATGCCATCCACAGATTTGACTTCTTGAAGTCAACAATCAGATCTGCTGAAGACATTTCCTCAACGTTCAAGAGTGGGCAGTTTATAATCCTTTGAGATCGCCTCTTTCAGAACAAACTTTTTTCACTTGAGACATTTTCCCAAATTTTTGAAATATTTAGAACAAAATTGATCTCACATGAGATAGTTTTCCTAAGAATAAATTTTGTCTCGCTAGAGACAATTTTCCTTAAAACAAAATTAATCTCACTTGAGATTGTTTTCTCTAAAAACCAAATTTTGTCTCACTTGAGACATTTTTCTTTCAGAACAAATTTTGTCTCTCTTGAGAAAGTTTCTCTTGAAACCAAAATCTTTGAATATGTTTCCCTTGTAACAAAGTTGTGTCTCCTTTGAGATTGTTTCCCTTGAAACATAAACTTTGAAAAAGTTTCTCTTGAAACAAATTTTGTCTCTCTTAAGACAGTTTCCCTTGAAACAAGTTTTGTCTCCCTTGAGACAGTTCCTCTTGAAACAAATTTTGTCTCTCTTGAGACAGTTTCCCTTGAAACAAGTTTTGTCTCCCTTGAGAGTTTCTCTTGAAACAAATTTTGTCTCTCTTGAGACAGTTTCTCTTGAAATACAAAATATTTGAATTTGTTTCCCTTGAAACAAATTTTGTCTCCCTTGAGACAGTTTCTCTAAAGTTTTGCCTCTCTAAAGACAGTTTCCCTTGAAACAAATTTGACATGTGAGTTTTGTATCAGTGGAAGATAAAGAAGAAAACATGGGTGAAAATTAATTCTTTATCATATATAGTGATTATATTTAAATTTTACATATCATAAAGTTTGCTGATAAAAGAGAGAGGAACAGCGAGAGAGATCAAATGTACTAGAAAAGAGAGAGAACAATACTTCCAAGTATGTCTTCAACGCTGGAGTTGAAGATCTTAAGAACGTATCTTATCGTTTTATTTTTGTCTTCTTTTATTACTCTTCTTTTGGATTTTTGGTTCACTTTCTGATGTTATGGGCCGCTTTGTGTAGCCCATAACAGTGTGCTAAAAATAACAAAACAAAAACAAGCTAGTAGACAAAAGAAACAGAAAATTTAAACTAAGCGTTGAAAGGCAGCTCATGCGTCTTTTGAGCCTCACTCGTCTCGCCCAGACTCAATTAAGCATTTTGGACTCCCCGCCTTGCGCCTCTGCTCCTAGGCGTGCCTTTTTAAACGCCGTGTCAGACAATGGTCGATATCATAAAATTTTAGGACTATGCTTTACTATTTAACACGGAGGTGAATTTGTGGAAGGAAAAAGTTGAATTTATATGTATCTTGGCAGTACATGGAAATAATCAAAACTGGGAAATCCTATGGGCACACCACTTATTCTCGTTTAATGTGTGATATTGGTGCCAACAGTTCTGATACATGTTATTTTGGGGAAATAAAGTATCAACCAAAGTTTTTAGATATTGCTTTAACACTCATATTGGAAGTAAGTGAAAATCCCTTTGTTTCAACATTGCTGTTTGGTTGAAAATAGTCTCTTCTCTGTAATAGCATGGACAAATCTATGGACCTTAGTCGGATAGCGTATAATGCGGTGTTTTCATCTGGTTGCATTTATTGACTTACAATTGTGAGATTCCCCTGACTTCTTTAGATCGAATGATTGTCCTGAAATTGCTTGCTTTTGTAATAGTAACATTTTATTTGAAGTAAAGAGGCAGTCTGACAGCTAGAATCCTTTAAGAATTGAGAATAAATAAGTGTAAATGTCCACCAAAATGTCCATTGGACATGTATGCATTTTTAGTTAAAATGGTATATGCATAAATTTCAGAACATTGGTCAGTTCCAGATAGGTAATGGTAGGCATCAAATCCACTTACCTCCCCTTTCTTTCAACAAATAAGTTTTATTCGGTCTTATAGCTCTGCTGGGTGGAAGATTCCACTTGGTGATGTGGAAGATTCCATTGCAAATTTTGAAAAAGATTTGCTTTATTTCAAAGTTGATTATTAAGGAAATGCGATGATTGAAGTTAGTGTATTCAAATTATGGAGATTCACATACATTTTTAGATGATACTTGGGAGTAAATGGAAGGGCTTTGCGCTACATTGGCCCTTAACGGAATAAACCAGCCTAACTGAACAGTTCCTAGTTGATGTGATTGTGTGTTTGATGCTGTCTATTTGAATGCGCAAGTATTGCGTAGTGCCTCTTTCCATTCCTAAATTTCCGGACATGGGTGATGATAAGGAGAGTGGTTAAACCAAAAAATAAATAAATGAAAATCCTGATGCAATTCCTCGATGCATTTCTCAGCTAATCTGTCATTTTGGGAGGCATCAATCCTTTTCTGTTTCAACTTAGGGTTTGTGGGTTGTTGATAGAATTTGATGGATTTGCTAAGAGTTTCTGTATTTGAGTTTATAAAAGATGCCGTGTTGATATTAAGATGTACTTGAAATCTTATATTAGTTCCTTTTCTCACCCTTGTGTTAGACCATGTGAGTGCATGTCTGCAGGAAAGAAGGTTCTGGAAAGAAGAATACTGCAACGAAGATCAAATGGTGAAATTAACGAATTGTGATCCCATTTCGCAATCTAAAGCGAACCACGAATTAGGTAACACTAGCATTGAGTAAACAAGGTTGCATACAGGGGAAGGTTGCATACAGTAATTTAACACCATGGATACCTCTCCAGATAAAAAACATTGTTTGCCTTGCTCTGTAGTTATCTTTCATTTTAAGCCCTAAAGTGTTTTGCTTCTGAAAACATCCTTATTCTTCTTTAAATCCCTTATTGCAGGTCACTTTTTGCTTCTGAAAACATTCGAAGTGGGGACTACATACTGAAAGTTCCTTACAGCGTGGTATATGATTTACAGTTCTTTATGTTTAACTCTTATTCGATTGCTTAAACACAATGAGGATCTCAAATTATAATTTTTTTTCTTTGAATCTTTCTACATATAAAACCAGACAATCTTCTTCCAAAGCTTAAAGCTTTACTAAGTGATAAAATCGGGATTATTTCAAAGCTAGCTGCTGTCCTTTTAGTTGAGCAAAAAATGGACCAGGTAACAAGAATATTATTCTTTTAATCTTCTTCAAAAGAGAAAATTCCTATGAATAATTGCTTGTGCTTTGTTTCTGCATCATTATGTATTTAATGGGAGTTTATGGTGGTTTGTAGAATTTGTCTTTAGTTTCAATGTTTGATGTTTTGTTTAAAAGAAACATCCTGAATCAAATGACATAATTATATCTTTTACAATAGGATTCCGGATGGGCCCCTTGCATCCATTGCCTTCCTCGACATGGGGAAATTCATAGTACGGTAAATGTTTCTTCATCTTTTGGTTTTGAAGCTTTTTGATCCGTATGCCCAGTAGAATTTAAAATTTTGGCATGAAATCCATATTGATGTAACTGTCTTAAAGATCTATGTTGATCTGAATCTTCAATTTTCTTGTTGTGATCATGTTAGGTATGCATATCATGATTGTAGGGATATGACCGACCAAGGGCCCTCTAGATATATGGAAAACTTGAAAAAAAATTGAGCATACCAATTTCATACTTATACCCGTATCTGACATTCCCACCCGAGACGATTGGGTATTTCCTTGAGCAGCGGAGCAATTCTTTTTGTTATTACATGTTTCCTTTAACTTTACAGTTCTGACAATCAGAAATTGTTGGTATAAACAAATAATATTATTAGTAATGTTCCATTTTTCGATTTAAACTTTATGAATACCATTGTTATGGTTAGTTGTGGCATTGTCAAGTAAAACATTTTGAAGTAGATGCTTGTTATGGTTGCGAGAGAATAGAGAAACACAGAAAAAAGAGCATAGGAAGAAGAGAAAGAGATGAAGAATTCAGATTTCATTCAAAATATGCTTGTTGATTCAATTACATGTATTGCTTACAATAGTAGTAGAGAATCTATCTTGGCCAAGTGGTTGTCCTTGCTAACTGAATCGGTTATCTTCAGCAGGAGACGGACTTCCAAGTTTGGGCTAGTTATGTGGCTTCTAGATCAGCTGGAATTAAATCTTACCGTGCCTCTCACGTGCCAGGTGATTTAATTCCCAATTTCCTCTTTCAATCCCTAACCCTTGCCTCTCTATCCCCCAATTCTTCTTCGATCCCTCATCCTTCTACTCCTACTGTGACAATACCCGCCCCTTGAGATGATCCTTGTCCCCAAGGATCAAATGTGGGAAATTGACCTCTGAGAACGGAGAAATCTTCCCAGGTATCATTCGTTACATCTAGGTTAGTCCATCGAACGAGCAATTGAGTCACTGGTTTGTTGTGTCGATTAACAATTCTTCTGCCTAATATCTTAGAAGGCTCGATTCTGAACTGACCTTCTTCATCCACTGTAGGAGGATCTATTGTGGATTTTGTCGATTCACCAATAAGTTTCTTCAAGAGACTCACATGAAAAAATGGGTGCATTCGTGATGTCGCTGGTAATTCTATATAGTATGCAACTTCTCCAATTCTTTCTGCAATCTTGTAAGGACCATAATACATGGCTGTTAATTTCAGATTTTTGCGCAAGGCGAGGGAAGTTTATCGGTAAGGTTGCAATTTGAGGTAAACTTTATCCACAACTTCAAAAACTCTCTCTGATCTTTTCTTGTCTGTCTGTTGTTTCATGCTATTTCTAGCATTTTCTAATTGTTGTTTAACTAGCTGTCTAATTTCTTCTTTGCTGCGCATCAACTCACTTATAGTCTGTACTTGTGATTCTGTGTGTCATACCATTGTAGGAGGTTTGTAGCCATATAGAGCCTGAAAGGGTGTGAGTTTTAGGGTAGTGTGGTATGTGGTATTATACCACAACTAAACATGAGGCAACCATTTTGCCCACTATTTTGGTTAAAAAAAACATAGGCTTCTTAAATATTGTTCGAGACACTGATTGACCCTCTCTGTTTGTCCATATGTTTTTTAATGGTAAGCGGTACTAAATAGGGTTTTAATTCCCAATTGCTTCATTAGCTCTCTCCAAAAGATGCTAGTGAATGTCTTGTCTCTGTCTGAAATGGCCATTTTAGGCTGGCCATGTTGCTTATAGACATTATCCAAATATAACTTAGCTACATCAGCTGCAGAATAAGGGTGGGACAGGTACAAAAAATGGTTGTATTTAGTAAACTTGTCTACCACCACCAGAATATAATTTTTCCTTAAAGATGTAGGTAGACCCTCTATAAAGTCCATTGTAATTATCTCCCAAGCTTGCTGAGGAATAGGTAGGGGTTGTAGCAGGCCTGGTTTTGCTATATGCTCCTATTTAGTTTGTTGACAAACTTCACAGGATCTTACATAAGTTGTCACCATAGCCTTAAGTCTAGGCCAATAGAAATAAGATCTAATCCTGTCATAAGTGTCATGGGTTCCTGTATGACCTCTATGAGGTGAATCATGCAGAATTTGAAGAATATGTAGTCTAAGAGACCTAGCAATACCAATATAAACCCTGTCCTTAAATCTAAGGATACCTTTTGATATTTCCATCTAGGTTCAACATTGAAATTGACAGTCAATACTGAAATCCATTCAATAGTCAGTGTGTCCTCCTTATAAGTGTCATATCCTTCCTGAACCGAGCTAGGTATTAATAAAGTAGTTCCCATAGCCAGACACTGACCTTGATCTTCCCACTGCCTAGATAAAGCATCTGCTACCACATTTGACTTGCCTTTTCTGTATTGAATGTTATAGTCTAGCCCCAGTAGTTTAATCAATCCTTTCTTTTGAATGGTGGTAGTTAATTTTTGCTCTAAAAGATACTTCAGGGGTTCATGGTCTGTCTTAATGAAAAAAGGTTTGCTCTCTAAATAATGTCTCCACTTAGAGACTGCTAATAAAATAGCAAGATACTCCCTTTCATAAATGGAAAGGGAAGAATGTCTAGGACTTAGAGCTTTACAAAGATAGGCTACAGGTCTTCCATCTTGAGAAAGTACAACACCTATACCTCCAGAACTGGCATCTGTTTCCAAATAAAAACTTACCAAAATCTAGTAGAGCTAAAACAGGGACAACACACATGGCTTGTTTCAGATCTTCAAAAGCAGTCAAAGCTTCAGGTTTCCATTTGAAACTTTCTTTTTTAAGCATCTGTGTCAAAGGTTTACTGATGGTGCCATAATTTTTTATAAACCTTCTGTAGTAGCCTGTTAAACCCAAAAACCCACGCAAATATTTTAATGATTTAGGTACAGGCCAATTCCTCATTGCTCCCACCTTGCTAGAATCAGTAGCTACTCCTGCAGCTGATATAATATGTCCCAAATACTCAACTTGAGTCTATCCAAAGAAACATTTGAATAACTTGGCAAATAACTGGTTAGCTTGCAAAACTTCCAAAACCAATTGCAAATGAGTAATATGGTTTGTCATAGAGTTATTGTAGACTAGGATATCATCAAAGAACACCAAGACAAACTTTCTAAGGAAGGAGATAAACAACTCATTCATTAGTGCTTGAAATGTAGCAGGGGCATTAGTGAGACCGAAAGGCATTACCTTGAATTCATAATGGCCCTGATGAGTTCTGAATGTTGTTTTGTAAATATCTTCAGCCTTAATTCTGATTTGCAGTAACCTGATCTTAGATCAATCTTGGAAGAGTAAACTATTCCAGTTAGCTCATCCAATATATCCTCCACCGCAGGAATAGGAAATTTATCCTTCACTGTCATATTGTTCACTTGTCTGTAATTAACGCAAAATCTCCAAGTACCATCTTTCTTTTTAATTAGAAGACATGGAGATGCAAATGGGCTTGTGCTAGGTTGAATAATAGAGGAGGAGAGCATACTAGCAATCTGTATTTCCACTTCAGCCTTCTGATTACGGGTAAATCTGTAGGGTCTTAAATTAATAGGAATAGACTCAAGTTTGAGTGGAATATAATGATCATGGTTTCTTGTAGGTGGTAGGCATGTAGGCTCAGCAAAAATAGAATTATATTTCTCCAATAGAGGTTGGATTGCTGAAGGAATAGGTGGTGAATTCCTTGTCATACACAGCATTACCACATGACCCAAAATAGGTGAATACGAGGCTTTCATTTTCAACAATGTGGCCCCTGAGATTTGGTGCAAAGTATTAGATGGTTGTTAGCCTTGTATAATAATTTATTCTCCTTGGTGTACAAAACTCAGTGTCGTATTGTTGAAGTCCACCAAGATTGGACTAAATAATTTCATCCAGTCAACCCCTAACACCATATCACTTCCACCCAATTTAAGTAGTCTGAAATCATGTAAAAAAGAGTGTTATTACATCTGCCATTCTACTTTGTTACGTCTAGCTGAGCTGAAAAGTTGTTGTCCATTATCTACTGTAATGGCCAAAGGGTAAGGGGTAGTCACCTGAATACCAGCATCAGCACACTGTGGTGTTAAAAAACTGTGAGTACTACCACTGTCAATCAAAATGTTTAATGGTCTTCCTTGAATGGTTCCATGAATTCTCAATGTATTATGGCCAATGCAGCCAGTAATAGCATTCATAGATATTTCTAGGCTTTCCTCTTCTTATAACAATTGTTGATTTGAATCATTGGGTAAGGGTTCTGAAGGTATAGTAGCCTCATCCTCAATCATCATGTTTAACTGTCTTGTCTTACACTGATGGCCTGGAATAAACTTCTCCCCATACTTAAAACATAGGTTATGTAATACCCCAAATAGCATGTCAGGGACTATATTGAAAAGATTTAAAAATTTAAGATTTCTTTGAATAAGTGATAAAAGATGAGAAAATGATTTGGAATAGTGTTTAGACTAATTTGAATAATAGATAAAGTAAGAGGGAACTTTGGTTTCTTATGAGGGAAAATGAATTTTAAATATATCCCTTATTAGGGATTGTAAGAGGGGAAAAGAGGAAAGTAAGCTCTTTCTATTCTTTTTCTTCTTCTCACGTGGGTAGGGCTCTCCTCTCTAGCATAATGTAAACTTCCATTAGCTAGTTCTTCCTTTAAATTATGGGTTGCTTTGGTAACATTAAGTGATATGTAAGTTTAAGGAATGATTAAAGAAGGTTAAAACTAAGTGGTGAATGTTTTATAGGAGATTTAAAGAAATGGGTTTTTGAATGATACGTTGATATATGTGTTTTTATTGAGTTTTATTAGTAGAATTGACTTGTCAAATGATTGAATAAGAGATTAGAAGCATGAGATATGATTAAAAACATGATTAGAAAAATGATATGATTCTTGAGTTGAGATGTTCCATGAAGATGTTAGATGTTAAAGGTGGAAAAATGAAGTAAAGTAGTTGGGTTAAGTAAAAAAGGAGTTAAATAGTATTGTTGGAGGTAAAAGTATAAGATTAGAGG